TTGAAGACTACCCGGAATAAAGAGGCATGGCTTTTTCCAAAGGATTTGTACATTTTCCTTGTTTTTACCCCTCCAAGCAGATCTCTAGACCTCTGTGCTGAGAATGTCTGCCATGACATTCTGTCTAGGTTGTAGAAAATCTCCAAGGTATTAAATCCAATGTGTGTTCTTGTAGTATTGTCTGTGTTTTTCAGATATATTTAATAGTACACATAATTAGTGTTGGATCACATGTAATTGGCACTTTGTTTTATTATTTTACATATGTAAGTAGATGTTTGTTTATACATCTGATTTTAATATTGTTCTTCAAGTGTTTTGTATTCTTTAAATGTAATTCTTGCTTTATATGTCTTAATGAGGTGACTCCAGTTTAGGCTGCAGATATATTTCTCTCTTTTGTTTTTTATTGTTTTTTATTATTATTGCTGTTAGCTGCATCTATTATATGCCTCTGATCTGAAAGAGACAATAGGTTGTTTTCTTGAAGCTGTTTGTAAGGATGAGCTCTCTTCAGTATGACAGCGGGAAGTATGATTTAAAAATATCCCCTTTTTTAGTACACATTTTAGAAAAAAATATTTCAAGGACATTGTCTAAGAAAGTTACCTGAATGTGTGCGCTTTTTTAGATGGAAAGGTATTGTGTGACAATGATAAGACTTTTTTTTGGAATGAATGGACAAAAATTGTTTGAGATCTACTTACTGCCTATATTGTATATGTGACCTTTATAAATACTCTGTTCTACTTTCTGAAATGTTGATTGGTTGGCATTGCTCCTGTTTACTAATTCATGCAATGAGACCTTTGTAAGTAAAGATCTCTGCTGTTTCACAGCCGAAACATCATTAATCATGCAAATCCATAGACAAGTCCAGTACTACAGTGTTTAACCCCTCGTTTGTGGAAGCTAGTAAATGCATGGCACATACTCATTATAGATAGTGATTTATTCTCCTGCAACATGCCTTCTTTTACTTAGTCTCATAAAAAAACAATACTCTGTTTTAAGAATGGAGGCGTCCTGTCTGGAACTGGCTTTGGAAGGGGAACGGTTGTGCAAGGCAGGAGATTGTCGAGCTGGAGTTTCCTTTTTTGAGGCGGCCGTTCAGGTGGGAACAGAAGACCTGAAAACTTTGAGTGCCATATACAGCCAACTGGGGAATGCATATTTCTACCTGCATGAGTACAACAAAGCATTGGAATACCACCATCATGATCTAACACTAGCAAGGTAATTGCAAAAGGAAAAGAGTGAGACTTGTAAAGATTGTGGGGAGATTAGAGGTTGGGTAATTGTCACTAGGAATGCATAGCCTGCTTTCTAGGATTTACTATTGGGTATCTGTGGGTTTTTTTGGTGTACATGATGAAGCTTAAATACCAACCTGTATATGAACAATGATTGTATTCATGTTTGCTACACATGGAAATTAGGGATGCACCGATAATATATATTTATATTTTAGTACTTGCCGATACCGGTACTTCCAGTAGCATAGAGCCGGCTTCCCAGGCATTCAGGAAGCCAGGCGGAATGACATTACCCATCGCCCAGCTTCTTGATTGCCCGGGAAGCCGACTCCATTCTGTTTGGCCGGCTCGATGCTGATTAGCCGGGAAGCCGGCTCACCCAGCCAATCGGCATTGAGGCTGGCCAAACAGATCTGACAGTATAGTGACACGACCGCCACCCTGCAGACACTTGATTCCCCTCACATAGATCCTTAGCAGCAGTCATTAACGTACCAGTCCCTCGGCCAGCTGGGCAGACACCGCTCTCCAAGATCTGCCCACGTCTCCTGTGTGCACAGTAAAACCCAGTTCATCACAGTAAAAAAAACTAGATGTGAATGGCCCATTTAAAGACTATTTTCGCTAAGCACAGTGTGCGCAAAAAATAACAGCTACAGATAAACACCTCTTTCTATGGAAGAATACATACTGTTTATGTATTTATCTCATTCAGGTCCCCCTGGTTGGTGAGCAGAGACACAAAGTGATCTTAAATGGACCTTCCATAAAAATGGAATGTTCGCATAGATGACAGTCATGCACCTGTATAAGAAAAGGTATATAAACCATTTCTAAAACTATAGCTTTGCCAAAATAAAAATAAAAATCTATGGAGCATGGCTTCCAAGGCTTCCGGAAGTGACATCACTGTGCCTCACTGCTGCATGCTGGGAGAGCTATGTGTTCGAAATCCTGTAAGGATGTACTCTAGCACAGTGCAGGAGCGCATTCTCGCAGGATTTCAACACCCAGCTCTCCCCATATGAAGGAGTGAGACACTGAGGAAAGCATTATTTCTTTCTCAAAACTCTGTATTTTTGCCAACTCATTAATTGCCTTTTTTAAACAAGTGGTGAGGGGCTGTCATCTAAGCATACCTTCTTTTTCTAATAAAAGGTCCACTTTAAAGCAGCCCTCTACTGAATCGGTTGAACAATAAGCTCCGCAGCAGGCATTTGAAGGTCCTAGTAGCATTGCTTGGCCGTGGAGATGGGTCACTGTGGTACCCAGTACTAAATTGTGGAAGACCAGGGAGAGTGTTGAGGTATGCCTCATACCTGGAGGTTTACCTGCCTCAATAGGCTGTTTCAGCCCTATGAAAGAGTGCCTATGAGGAAACTGTGATATTTCATATATTTGTATGTTTTCCATGCAGCTAGATGCTCTGCAAACTGCCAATTTTGCCCAAAGCTAGCAGTAGGCTGTGATTTTCGACAGAATTGACACATAGAAAGTTCCATAGGTATTTCAAATGGCCACTCCCTACTAGAACTGCTTTATAATAAATACATTGGCTTCTGATATTCTTTTGCAAACATACGTATTAAGCTATGCATGTCATTAAAGGTTTGTTCATGAACCAGCTTGTAATTTTTGTTTAGGAGCCATTTAACCTTTTTAAAGTGTTAGCTGTACTTACAAACACAATAATTGCAGAAGCTGTAAAATGATTCTGTTGCTTGAACAGCGTCTACTCATAAAGCATTGAGGGTGTTCTATGAATTGAATAATTGATACATTAGTTTTGTGTTGATCTTGCAGAACTATTGGTGACAGACTCGGGGAAGCCAAAGCCAGTGGAAACCTTGGAAATACTTTGAAAGTCTTGGGTAACTTTGACGAAGCAATCTTATGCTGCGAGAGGCACTTGGACATTTCTCAAGAGCTGTTTGATAAGGTATATGAAATAATGTGTGAGAATTTGCTATAGCATAGTCCGTTCCTTCCTGCTGAATTTGTGGCTGGGTTATCTCAAATGTCATGCTTGTTTAGGCGCATCCTTCTGGTGAGAACCCTCATTTTCTATTTATGATGTAGATCAGCTTACAGTGCCTCTACGTGCATTCTCAGATACAAACCAGCTTGTTTAGCAATATCTGGAGCTGTTAGAAGAGAAGTATAAAATCTTTGAAAAAATGGGGACATCGATGCATTGTGGGTGTATTTTTAGAAAATTCTATGCAATGTCAACGGTATATTAAGCTTCATAAGCATACAAAATGGTTACATTTATATTTTTCATGGCCTTGACGTAACAATCTAACTGCATCTCAACCTCAACCTAAAGCTGAAGTTTTAGTTATTTTTAGTAATAGTAATAGTAGTAATTTAGTAATTTTTTTTTGCATACAGCACTAGGGACAAACCACTCCTACAGTGCAGTGTACCCTACTGTCTGCTGGTTATTGTAAAAATCCTCCCTTCAGTGATGCCGTATCCTTCTCACAGCAGATTCTGGCTCTTTATGGGTTAACTGCCTCATCTGTAACTGTTTTTTTTTTTCAGCAAGTAGATTTTTATTTGAAATCTTTATAATACATAGAATTGCACTGAACAATAGATTTACAATTATCCTCTGCTAATATGAATGGGTTAAATGATCCGTAGTACATGATATGTAGCCCTGTACCCCCTTTTCCACTTACAGAGCTAGGTTATTGTTTTTCTTTTAAATAAATATTCATGTAATTTTATTGGTATCTATCTTCATTTTGTACATTTACCAGTAGCTGCCTCATTTCCCACCCTCGGCTTATATTCGAGTCAATACTTTTTCCCAGTTTTTTGTGGTAAAATTAGGTACCTCTGCTTATATTTGGGACGGCTTATACTCGAGTATATACGGTATACAGCGCTATAACAACATAACGAAATGGCAAAGCATGTAAGCATTCAAGGCTCATGTCTTCGACCTAAGCTATTACATACCGAAATTGTGTAAAGTGACATCTCAGTCCAAATACCAGAGTATTTGTCTTACTGGTAACAACTTACACTTGCAATAGTGTGTCCTCAGGTGGTTGACATGAGTGGTGTATGAGACGGATCAGATTCAGGTAATGGTGGGTGCGAAACTGTGAAGGATATGTGGGTGCGGAAAGGGCTGCAGGTCAGCAAAGATATGATGGTGGCAATATGAAGAATTATTCATCATTACCTGAACGCAGGATTTAATTGTGAGGTACTAGGGCCTAAGTGCAGTGAGATCACAGCACATCAAGTTTACCCAGAGAGCCTTCAGATTTGGCTAGGAGGTACCATTTGGAATTTTTAAAGAGAGACATAACATCCTTGAGTTGATTTTGTGTATATTCAGATGTCGGGAAGTGTGACCAAGTGTGGAAAAACTTATCCGTGCGGTCTAAATTATGCTTAGTGTCTAGTTTATGGATTAACATGAGCTGATGTAGAGTGCCCTTTATTTCCAACAAAGTGGGAGTGTGTTGGGATAACCAGTGTATGAGAATATTCTTTTTGACAGCCAGGATACAGTAGTGTTCCCATTGTGATAGGTGAGTTGTCGAACTCTGTGATATTTCAGATGGAAAATGAAAGAGGCAATCTGTAACTGTTAAAGGATCGTGCCACTTGTGCCCCCTCCGCCCCTTTTGCCCATTCACAAACTTCTAGTTTTAATTACACAGAAGGTTTCTTGCGAATAGACACGGGTCATCTATGTAATCCACCCTCCCTACCCATTTAAAAATGCATGTGAAAATAATACGTACTTACAAAACATACACTATTACATACTGCATTGGAGGTAAGTTATGTCCCTGGTGTTGTATCCTGAAAAAACTGTACTTTAACTGTAGCTTTAAGAAACCAATGCTAGCTAGCCACTAGATGATTGTTTTTGTGTAGAAATCTTAATCTAAGTGAAGTTACCGCATTTTAGTGTAGTAATAAAAATATAGAGACTTTTTAAAAGGTGCTAGCTGTAATTTGTCTTATTTAGCCCTATTGGGGTTTGCGTTTTTTTTTTCATCTTGGCACTACAATAAACCACCAGGATAAGATATGAATCCTATACAAAACATGCCACGCTTTAATCCCTGCTGAGTGTATGATATTGGATGAGAACCTCCTTCCCTCAGCCAGAACACTGAAGATGGGTCGTGGATGGGTCTTTCAGCATGACAATGACCCAAAACATACCACCAAGGCAACAAAGCAGTGGCTCAAGAAGAAGCGCATTAAAGGTCATGGAATGGCCTAGCCAGTCTCCAGACCTTAATCCCATAGAGAATTTATGGAGGGAGCTGAAACTTCGAGTTCCCAAGCAACAGCCAAGAAACCTTAAGGATTTAGAGAAGATCTGTAAAGAATGGACCAAAATCCCTCCTGAGATGTGTGCAAACCTGGTAACCAAATACAAGAAACGTCTTACCTCTGTGCTTGCCAACAAGGGTTTCTCCTCCATGTACTAAGTCATGTTTTGCTTGGGGATCAAATACTTATTTTGCTCACTGAACTGCAACTCAATTTATAACATTTGTATCATGTGTTTTTTCTGGATTTTTGGATGTTATTCTGTCTCCATCATTTAAAATACACCTATGATAAAAATTATAGACCTTTCATTTCCTTGTAAGTGGGCAAACTTACAAAATCTGCAGGGGATCAAATAATTATTTTCCTCACTGTATACAGTTCAGTTATTTTTCTTAAGCAATAGTTTTTTCTTCCTTTTTTTTTTTTTTTTTTTTTTTCAAACGGTCAATCAATAATCTTCAATATAATATTGTGCAAATTTCACCGATGTGACCAATAACGCATATCTCCACCACCGTATTCTTAGGAATACTGCTCACCTGACTCCTAGACCCAAACCACACTTGTCCCCTCTTTTAAAACTCGAGCAAGAGAACGTAGCCACTCTTCTGCACACGGGGGAAAACTCCTGGGTACATGTCATAAATATAAGAATGCTCCATAGTGCAAATCAATGTATATAAAAACGCTTTATGCAAACAAATTCCTACTCGCATATAGATATGAAACAAATTGCATCAAAATCGGATATACACTTCTCAATCCTCTGTGAACATTCGTCGACAGCTCCACCCTGCGTACGTTGGGTCAAAGGCGCGACTTCATCAGGGGTTTATTGCACAGTCACTTTAGTATATAATACACAGATTGTGAACACACACATATTCTACACTTAATAGGGATTACAGCGTGGCACGTTTTGTATATGATTTAATCGCTTCCATCTGGTATCCAGATTTAGTGCTTGCAGCTGTGGAGGAGTGTTGAGCGCGAAGCTATTTCTTTAATACTGCTTGATATACTTTTAAAGTGACACCAAATTCCGAATTAAATCTTAAAAATGCATTCATGTATCTTAAGTATTAACAAAAAGGCATCTTATTTGTGTATCATCCGGCTGTAGATCCTCAAATCATCTCTGAATTGGTGCTGACACTGTCCTTCCTTCTGGAGGGTGGCTACTTTTGTTCCCCATGGTCCCTGTGTGTGTTGTAAAGTAGCCACCACTCCAAGCTTGCTGTGATGGACTACAATCTCACGTTTAGTTTACTAATTTTGAAAGTTATCCTTCAGGTCCGCTCCTCTGCTGATTGGCAGTGTGCTGATGCAATAGCTGGCCTGCTATTGGCTATTGTAGTTTGAAATAGCCAATAGCAGGCTTGCCATTGCTTCCTCTGCTATCAGACGCACTCAGAATACCCAAATCCATTAATTTACAGCTGATCTGTCCTGGCTAGATTAATGAGATGTTAATTGTGTTTTATTACTTACAAAACAGGTTGGGGAGGCCAGAGCACTTTACAATCTGGGAAATGTGTACCACTCAAAGGGAAAGAGCTTGGCATGCATTGGGACACGTGATCCTGGAGAGTTTCCAGAGGAGGTGAAAATAGCTCTACAGAAGGCTGTGGATTATTATGAGTAAGTAGTAGTGACATGCTTTGAGTTTTTGAGGACACTGGCCCCCCCCCCCCCCAAAAAAACAAAAAGGATAGTAATAAAGTAGGCCTATGGCATCCCATTAAAAAAGAAAAGTGTTCTGCAGAGATGAATTATAAGTGCACTTCCAGTTTTCTCTTATTTCCCCTGCAAAGTCCCGCAAAAAAAATAACCTGTTGAACCCGCCAGTGCAGTCAACCTAATGAAGTTTCCTGTGATGATGTGGCGAGACTCTGCACTGCTCCTGAATTCAGAGCAGAGTTGCTACTCTCATGTAGGCTGTCTGTGTTTGCATCACAACGGAGTAAAAAAATAAATGCAGGAGTCATGGCTATCAGCTTTGTCACTGATTCACAATCCTGTAGCTTGTCAATCAGCATCTGGCAACACCTCCCATTGTGAGCTGCAGTGTCTGGGAGGGGAAGCATAAGAGGGAGGAGGATTTGTCTCAATCAGGCAAGGTAAAGGAATTTATTTGTTTACTTTTATTAAGCTTGTGCATCAAATAGTAACTTGATTTTGTATTTGTTTACACTTTTACAGGAGTCTTTAGTTGTAATAAAAAAAAAAATTGATGAAAAATGAATCTATTGTTGTGGACCCTTTTCATAAATTGGTTTGTGTGCAATAATTCTGAGCAACATCTTTCTCATATGTACACCGTCACACAGGAGGTGGACTAGGGCGCTCACATGGCTTTCACTTACCCAGAATCTGAACTCCATGCAAACCGCTAAAGCTGAACTCCGGGCATATAAATAAATGTAGCTGCATGTATATCATCCCTTAATCTAAAAATGGGGCATGTAAATGAATGTGTTTCAGTGTAACTGTATAAATTATCCTTAACTGGAGCCTGTTTCTGCTGTAGGTGTTGTTTATGCTTGTAATCAGTGAATAAAGCAGGCCTGGAAATTGCTGCAGCGTGGCACATCCTCTTATGGCGACCAGTCACCTCAGCAGGCTGCCTATGTGTGGCAGACCAGTTGCATCACTACCTTTTTAGACGTTCTATGCAGGCAGTATGAGGTCATCGCTGCCTAAACTAGGAGGTCACAGCCAAAGCAATGGGCAGAATGTTTTCTGCCTGTCCCCATCCTGGTAGACTGATTGGCAGTCACCTTGCTTTGCCCTCTACTTAATTGCCCCACACACATGGCTGAGAGTGCAGATTGCTCCTGCTTGGTCCAATTGCATTGTAGCCCCTGAAAACTGTAATAGCCGAGTGTGCTGAGACTTCAGTGGGGCAGGACAGGTACTGACAGAGGCTTCAGTAGTGCAAGAATGGCTAGGAAAATGATTGTGATTAGGGATGTCCCAATACCATTTTTTCAAGACCAAGTACAAGTACTTTCCCTCGGGTGCTTGCCGATACTTTTTATTAAAGGGACATGTGAAATTTTTTCATCAAACAATACAGGCTAATGATTTTAGGGCAGTTTCTTTATAATTATGAAGAACTGTAACTCAATCCATGATTGTTCAGCAATGGAGAATGGTAACCAGCAATAGAGGACTACAGATCCCATCAATCCATGATTAAACAGCAATTATACAGGGCTGCATTTGGGTCTCTCCAGGGCTCTGCAGCTGGGTGTTGGGCTGAACGGGTGGGATCCGGGCTTGTGCTGGGATCCCGGTCTGTACAGGCAGGTGTGGGGCTGCCCTGTGCTGTGCTGGGAAGTACGGTAGGAGGAGGCAATGTATGGCCGTACCCGCACTGTCAAAGACAGCTGCCGGAGGTCCCCAGCAATCACGGCACCTCAGGCATCCAAACCTATTAAAAAAATTAAAGGGACAGTATCGGCCTTTAGTATTGGGTCTTTTTCACTAAAATGCCCTGTATCAGCCCCGATACCAATACTAGTATTGGGACATCCCTAATTGTGATTCTAACACACGGTAAGAATCATGAGACTGATGGTTTTATTAAAATGAAAGCTGTCTGCATACACCTGGCAGCTGATCTGTAGAGACAGAGCCTGTAAAGCCTCTGCACACTGCTAAGTGGAGGTTTCACCTTCTCTGTTCCAATAACTATTCAGCTGTAAGAAGTGTGTAGTGTACCAGCTAGCAAATCACAATTCACTTATAAAGAACAAGCCATGCTGGTATTCCTATCCTGAACGAGTGATGGCAGGGGAGATCTCTGTGCCCCCAATCACCGCTCACAGCACAGCCAAGTACACTCCTGCTACAGGACACCCCTACAGGACAAGCATAGGGAGCCCTGAATACCCTCTTTACAGTTAAAGAAGAATTTATAGAACTAGGTGATAATGTCACAGAGATATTCTACATTTTTTAAAAAAACAGCTTCTGATGCAGATTTTCTCTAAATAAAGTGACACTAAACTCAGGAGTTAAAACTTAAAGATGCATTCAAGTACCGTTTAAAATGTAACTTACTTGTGTATCACTTGGCTGTAGATCTGCAAAGCATCTCTGAATTGGTGCTGACACTGTCCTTCTTTCTGGAGGGTGGCTACTTTTGTTCCCCATGGTCCGTGTGTGTGTGTGTGTTATAAAGTAACCACTGCTCCAAGCTCACTCCCGTGATGGACTACAATCTCAGGTTCAGTTTACTAATTTGTATTGAGATTGTCATCCATCACAGGAGTGAGCTTGCAGTGGTGACAACACACACATACCTGGACCATAGGGAGCAAAAGTAGCCACCCTCCAGAAGGAAGGACAGTGCCAGCACCAACTCAGAGATGATTTGAGGATCTACAGCCGAGTGATACACAAATAAGATACATTTTTGTTAATAGTTAAGGTGCTTAAATGCATTTTTAAGGTTTAACAACTGAGCTTAGTGTCACTTTAGGAAAGTTTCATGATCACCATATGGAAGAGGAACTGTGCCTCTGATTTTTTGGCTGGCTGGAATTCAGATTCAAATGCCCATTTGAAATGCGGGTTTTTTTCTCTCACACTCTCCTGCTTGGCATAATAGTCACACAAATATAATGATGTACCTTAATGTTGGTTATGTAATTAGGGATGTTCTATGAGTCAACTAGTATGTGTTTGTTGGCATTTCAGTTATTAATTGTCCTAAACATTGATAAATAAAATGTCAGCTCTGCAATAAATGTGTATGACTTGAAATACTCAATGAATGTATTTGTAGATGTTTTTATATTTGGTTACGACTGCATATAGCTCCAGAAGTCATTGATGCATTTTATTCATTTGTATAGCAGTTGCATTTGTGCTGGCAAAAAAAGTTTGTTTTTTCCTCTTCATAAACAGAGCTAATTTATTAATTGTAACGGAATTGGGAGACCGGGCAGCCCAAGGGCGTGCATATGGTAATCTTGGGAACACACACTATCTACTAGGAAATTTCCGAAGAGCAGTCATGTCCCATGAGCAGGTACAGTACATTTCTTTCGGAAGGTTTACACACCTCTTAGCAGCTATATAATCCATCTTCATGGTCTTTGCTAGCCTTGCAAACACGCCCATTAGAGTTTTTGTGATGAATGTTTTCATTATTGGTGTTTGTGACTGTTTACTAACATACAGTTTTGAGATATGATTGTGCGTGGAGTAATAATCTTTTTCCCTTACAGCGACTTCTTATTGCCAGGGAATTTGGTGACAGGTCAGCTGAAAGAAGAGCTTACAGCAATCTTGGAAATGCTTTTATCTTCCTCGGTGAATTTGAAATGGCAGCAGAGTACTACAAGTGAGTCATACATTTTTTACGTATGTACCTCTCATTCCCCCCTTCTTTTTTCTTTATATAAACATCATCCATTACGACGGGTTGATGGATAAAAAGACAATACTGTTCAGATGACCTCTGCCTACTGGTTGACTTGTCTTTTATCTCCTGTTTTGTAAATATGTTTGTCATTTGTAACCACAGCTCTTTAATTTAACTGCTACATTTTCCATGTGTCATTCTCTGCTCGTGAACGTACTGTACTGTCAAATAGATCTTGGATACTATAGGCTAGAGTCATTGATTTTCCTTTTGAAGTAAAGTGATGGCTTTATGGCTATATAAAACATGTAGGTAAATCACAGTTTTGTGTTGGCAGAGCAGTAATAAGTTGATGCAGTTTTTCTGAGCTGAGGTGATCTCATGAGTCCGCATTGTGTTTCTGCAGGCGCACATTGCAGCTGGCCCGTCAACTGAAGGACAGGGCTGTGGAAGCACAGAGCTGTTACAGCCTGGGCAACACATACACCCTACTTCAAGACTACGAGAAGGCTATTGATTATCATCTGAAACATCTGGTCATTGCAAAGGAACTCAGTGACAGGTGAGCATTTAAAATTGCTCGTCATCATCATGTGACAGTCTTTCTCCTCAGCAAATAAATTCAGTCAGTTGTTGCCTTGGTCAGAGGGATTCACAATAAGCTCCGGGAAGCAGCTATGTGTGGGTGTCTCCACATGTAACAAGCCATCTTCAGAAGAATCTATTAGTTTTTGTCTCTTGTAGTTGCAGTAAAAGGTATATTTACACTGCATGTGTTGACATGTTTGTCTAACTCTGTCACCTGTGTTAGGGAGTGGGACAAATAAAAGAAAAAGCCTAGACAGCAGGAGGATGTTTGTAAAGGGTTTATTGAAGGAGTGGTTATCTTTGGGTGGTTGTGCAAGGTGATAGCGTTCACTAAGTAATTATCTAAAGATACTCTTAACTCTTGCAGTGTGGCTACCCATGCACTGCAAGGGTTAAGTGCTCGTTTTAGTCTAGGGATGAAAAGAAAAAGATCTACTCACCTGAATCTTGAAACCCTGTCTGGCTTCTAGACTGGTTCCTGTAGAGCCTCACTCTCCTCCACTCCGGAGGTCTAAGCTCCTGTAAGTCATCATGTCCAATACAGTGCATAGAACGTGAGGACGCTGAGGAACATTCCATCGCTGGAGTGGAGAAAGAGAGGCTGCAGGTACCGGACTGGCATCCAGCCAGGTCAGAGATTCGAGCGAGTATATCTTTGTTATTTTCATCCCTAGCTCAAAACGAGCACTTGACCCTTGCAGTTACTAAGTTTAGATTATATCTGCCCAGAGTTCTTCTTTAGTTCATTTAGATTTACAAGAAATACAATTTATGTCATGTTCAGTAGGCACAAGTAACTATCTGTCTGTCTGTCCAATATAGATCTCTATAATTGATCAATCAGTTCTGGAGATTTTTATGGGGTAGAGCATTTTTCTAAAGCAAGTTCCAGGATGGTGGTTTGCATTTAGATGGCTTCGTGACAATTGCCCTTTTTTTAACAGCCTAATGTCTAGGTAAAGTGTGGCACACCCTAGTTAACAGGAAAGTTATTTAAATGAATTCAAGCATTAAATTCAATCTTGGACCCCTAATAATACAGATCAGATTCACAAGATCTTTAATTTAACCCCATAAGGCTGCCAAGACCTTTTTTTGTTTTTTTGCACACATGTCATAATCCACATTTTAGGCCTGAAAATTACTTCAAATCCCCAAACATTATATATTTTCTGAAAGCCAACACCCTGTAAAATAAACCCGTGGCAGTTGCAATTTTACAAATGGTAAAATTGCACATACAATACCAATGTACAAAGAAACAGTACAGTGTCGTTCATGACAATTGTACAGGACAATAACACAAAAAATTAATTTGAGATGAGGCATAAAAGATTATCGTACTTATCGACTCTCTTAGACACAGTGGGTGAGATCAGATGTTGAATCTCCATATAAAATGAAAAAATGCATACAAAAAAAAACCCAGAGCTGGGTTGGATACGGAGACATGACGTGAATGAGGCAAAGGTAAACCTGACAGAGTGCCAGCAGCAGTGTGTCCTGAGATTAGTTATGAAGAGGTACATTGGGAGGGGAGAGGAAAAAGAAAAGTGGCAAAGAAAAGAAAGGAATACGAGAGAAAAAAAGAAGAGTCAGGCTGCATGTAGTGGAGGAAGTAACATCTGAGGACACATTATCAAAAAGTTCCTTCACAAAATGAGGACGTGCCGGTTGGTGTCAGAGGGCGAATATTTCTCAGACCAGGGTGATCATGCTTTTTCAAATTTATGCATAGTATTGTCAAGTTTCGCCGTTCGGGCAGTTGCAAATTTTTATGTTGCACGATATTGGCTTTATTAAACCCAAAAATCTAGTGACAAATGCACTTAAGTTAAATTTAGTGACCCAAAACACAATATAATACCCATTTTAAAAATAAAAAAGATGAGGTAACGACGAGTCAATAGATACCCAACATGCCCGGATTAATAATTGTGTGCATCAGTGAAATGGTGACAAAATTCAGTTACCCAAAAAGGCCATACACAACGCTTTAAATGCCCCTACAGGTCATCAGTTTAGAGATGCGTGTAAGTATTGCTCTCTCATTATTTTTCATATTATTTTTACATTTATTTTATTTAATTTTTTTTTTTTACTTTTTTTTTAACTTTAATTGCTATAACATAGGGGGGCTTACAAGCCCTACATGTGATAACATATTGGTGATGACAGGTCCTCTTTCAGGGGACACTAGGGGTCCAAAAAGACCCCTAGTGTCACCTTTCCAATTTAAATAAGCTATTGAAGTGCAGATCTCAGGAGGCGGTGCATGGTTTTGTTTTTTGTTATGTAATATAGTGCACATGAGCATGTAAACCAATGGATTGGATAAATTAAGTACATTTTGTACTAAAGTGTATGTATTATTATTATTTTTATTATTATACAGGATTTATATGGCCCCAAACAGTGTATGCAGTGTTTTACAAAATGGGGGAGACAGTACAGTTGCAATACAATTTCAGTACAATAGGGTTAGGAGGGCCCTGCTCATGAGAGCTTACAATCTAGTAATGTAAACTAGGGATGCACCGATACCAAGTATCGTACTCGGTACAGGTACAAGTACCGATACTTTTCAAGCTCCTAGACTAGACAGAAATTAAAAAGTTAGGAGGCAGCTGTCATTTATAAGGAGCACACGGAGTTCCTGGGATCTGTACAGCTCTGTTTTATTGTATGATTTTGTTTTTATGAATATATATAGATTTAGCATAGAATGACCTGAATCAAAGCATAGGATGCCACACCCCTGGAATTGGTATGTCAAAATTAGAAAAGTTGGGGTTTTTGGGCAGCCGACTGACAACTTAACAAACCAAACATCTTGTTGAAAAAATATATTGATTTTATTTAATTAAAAAGTAATTGGAATGAATAAAAAAATTTTTGACAACATGATTCTCCTATAGGCTTCCTCCACACTGATTTATAGTTCATTCAAAAAGAGATAACATTTAAAGATTTTGTATAATAGAACATAATTAGATAATTAGAAAACATGATGTGATAATTCATGAACACAATACATGATCAGTATAAAAAGGAGTGATGGAGGAGCTTGATTTTCTCGACGTTTCGCGCTAGATAGCGCTTCTTCAGGAGATGAAGAGAGAAGTTGTCTATACACCTTAAAGTCTGTGTGCGTCCCGGTTGTTCTACCCGGCTCAGACAGTAAGGAGTAAAAGCATAGGGCAGGGGGAAACGTGATCGGAGAGGGGGTTCAAAAAATTTTTTATTCATTCCAATTACTTTTTAATTAAATAAAATCAATATATTTTTTCAACAAGATGTTTGGTTTGTTAAGTTGTCAGTCGGCTGCCCAAAAACCCCAACTTTTCTAATTTTGACATGACTATATATAAGTGATGCACTTATACCATTTTTGCAAGTAATGATACTTGTCTAAGTACTTTGATACATTTTTGTTTAGTGTCATGTGACAGTTTTTCTAAAACAATATCGACTAATGTTTTCAGGACAGTGGTGGAGCGCCAGAGCTAGGTCCCAGCTGCAACCCTGGTAGTTCTCATGAAAATGCCAAGTATCGGCACTGGTATCTGAAAAGTATCGGGGCATCCCTAATGTAAACCAAAACTATTTGACTACATTCCTTTGTTCCTCACAGTCATTTACTGGTTCCTTCCCCCCCCTTTATTAAAAGTTGGAGCTACACTAAGTACCGGGTGATTCTACCCATCTCCTGCCTCTTGGTTTCTGACCATGCTAAGCACACAAGCAGATCTGCACTCGCATGGCCAGTTTGTGTCCTTGTTTCTTCGAAAGGGTCATACAGGACGCCATGCATGTAGTCCTGTAGTAAGTCTGTGACATCACAGGCTGACATGTCCTTCTTCCACCGTGCTTAGCTTGCTTTGTTATTTGAGGTCTCCTCCCAACCTTTTGGGGTTTAGCGGCCATGTCACCAACTACAGTTAAAAAAAAAAATTATTTGTGATGGATGCTTTTGTTTATTAATGTGGTTTATTTGCTTAAGCTATGCTGAATTATTTTTTTTGACACACAACGGGTTAACGAACACTTTAAATAAAGTAGCTGTGGGAAGGTTCTTTTTCAGTGCCTTCTGGTATTGGTAGGGTTATTCATCCATTTACTTTTTATTTCTTGTCTCGTTATTGTGAGTGGCATTTTTATTTGTTTAGAAGGGATCTGCAGGATAATTAAGACTAGGAGGAGCAAAACCAAGCCGCCTTAGGGTTGGCGCGGACAAGCATTCTAATTAAACTCTGCATTTTTAACTCGACCGTGTGCAGCAGAGTTTGAATGATAAACGCCTTTTCTTGTCAAAAGCTATTGCGTTTGACCTGCTTTTCCTTTCAAACACAGCCTCTGAACAACCATGTACACGGCTCCGTTTAAGTCAATGACATTTTACTGACCTACATTGAAGGTGCATTCTAAACGCGCATCTAATGCAGGAAAACAAAGCTCATCGACGTGAGCTCTTAGGAGTATGTCAAGTGGACACTGTTTTTACTGCTCCATAGCAACCAAATGCTATTTTTTATCTTTAAAAGCCTACTTTAGGAAAGCCTGCATTAGGACAATGACAGTTGGAATTAGAATGGTTATATGGCAACACTTTTTTCTTATTTTAGACACATTAATGGATATGGCCCTAAGGTCAGAATGTTGAATGCTAATTAATTTTGGGTCATCGGAAACCAGTGGATGATTCAAATCACTAGTATAGTTACATAGTTAGTCAGGTTGAAAAAAGAAGACCATTGAGTTAAACCTACCCATAATTATAATTTTGGGGTGAACTTTAACACCTGAATGCTCCTGATATTTTATGCAGTTTTTCTCTTTAAAATGATGAACCTTTTTAGTATAGACAGAAAGGTTTATGAAATGTAGAATTAATAATTGTTGCAGATTCCTTCCAAGTTGTTGCCGATAATATTGTATACTTGTTTTGCAGAGTGGGAGAAGGCCGGGCTTGTTGGAGCCTGGGGAATGCATACACTGCCTTGGGTAATCATGACCAAGCTGTGAACTTCGCAGAGAGGCACTTGGAAATATCAAGAGAGGTAAAAAAACAAAAACATTTAGATAAATAATTTGTTCTTGGGAGGGGTGGGGGACTATAATCTTGTTTCATTTATAAGTGAAATCTTGCAGCCACACTGAATCACTGCATGACAGTTAAAGGAGAACTGTGGGGTTAGGGCTTTTCCCCATAGTTCTACTAAGGGTAACGGGAGGACACAAACTAGCGTCCTCCCGTCACCCAAAGCTCAGTATACCGCAAGCTACAGCTCGCGTTATACTGAGGCGCCGCAGCTGAAACGGATCCCGACAATTATGTCTGGATCCACCCAGCTGCGTGAGTGATAGCTGGCTCTGCCTATCTAGAGGCAGAGCCAGCTGTACCCGCCCCCTCCTCCGTCCTTTCTGCCAGTCAGCGCTGGAGAATCGGACAGGGGAGGGGAGAATCCAGTCACTCCCCTGTCACGGCTCTCTGCAGTGACATGATCGAGAAGTGAGCGAGCACCGGTATGTGTTCGCTCACTTCCCGATCTACTGAGCCGACCTGTGACAGTTTCATTGTCGCAGGTCGGCTAGAACTATGAGGTGAGTGAAAATCACTTGCCTCATAATTCTCCTAAGTAATCTAGGCAAAATCAACCTTTTCTGGTTAATGTAAGATATACCCTAAGCTGATCAAACATGTTGCAGTCTGGTTGTACAGTCTCCTATAGGCCTTCTGTATCAATACCTATGTAGGGCAGTGTTCATTAACCTTTTTTTTAGCCTTGGCACCCTTTAAAACTGTGCAAAATATTGAGGCACCCCAGACTTTAATGTAGAAAATGTAAAAAATGGCTTGTGGTTCCCACCAAAATCTATACAAGACCTTTATCCTAGATAGGGATCTGGTATGGATTGTAAGAAGGGCCCCCATGCAAAAACAAAACACCTTGGAGGTCTCCCTTTAAATCAGAGTCTCCCCTTCACATTCAAAGCCCCCATTCCACCTGGAGCCTCCTTCCTGTGAAAGTTCCCCTCTT